CTAATAATTAAACTGACTCAGTACTACACAGAAGTGGAGATATTATATTCCCTTTTGTAATCATTATTAGCCAATAGATTACCTATCTGCAAAAATAAAGATATGACTCGAGAAATCAAAATTTTACAAGAGAAGCATAATAAAATTGATAATAATACACTAAGTAATGAATAATTAATTTTTTGTAAAGCTCTCTAATGAAACTTTGACTTTTTGAATTTGAAGTTTCTTATTTATATTTGTTTAAAAATAAAAATTTTTAAAGTTGTCGCTATTCTTACTGATTGATAATATATTTAGCCTTTCTGGAAGATGTATAATATCAATTTGCCTATTTAATATCGTTCTGTATTATGTGATCTGAAAATTTTAGACCATCTCTGTAAAAAAATGTCTAGTATCTCCTTAATGTATTTGTATTGTGCTTGTATATTAAGACCAATTTTATTAAATCATTGTTTATTTATTAAGTATTAATATTGTTATATAATTTAAAAAATGACATATAATAGTAAAATCTTATTATATTTTTTTGTTAACTTAAACTTTTAACCTTAATATAATTGAGATTGAAATGAAAAAATATGTCGTTTAAAATCAAATTTAATTAATAGTTAACTTGCTTTATGTTATGATAACATAATATTTTTAGTATATAGGTTAACTGTACTAACAATTAAAATCTAATGAATTAAACATTTTTTGTGTGTATATTCACATCATTTTTTAAAATTAAATTTATTTGTTATAAAAGTGGTGACATATTTAATAACACTTTTGAGCGTTTTTTTTAAATTAATTTAATAATGCTTGTTAAAATTTTGTTCATAATTATTTTAATGAATATTTTATATAATTAATTTTTGTAATTATAATTTTCATTTATGTAATGTTTTTTTATAGAGAGGGTAATTATGCAGCATGTCAGCTACCTATTTTGGATCCATTCGATCCATTAATGATGAAATTTATTAAGGTGGAACCTCCTCTAGTATGTGATTTAGAAGATGATTGGGTAGTTGTTAAAGGAAATATTGCTCGCATTACTGAAAAAGCTCGTAAAAAGTATGGAGATATTCAGTGCAAGTTTATTGGTTGGTTTTCTAGTTTTTTGTATGTATTTTCTAAGTTAATAATATAATTTATTTTAATAGATGTTCTACGAGCCAATGAATATTCCTCATCATTGGGTATTGTAACTACAACTCATACAGAGTATAATTTAGAGACAACTGACTTTTTTAGGGTGTACTGTGAGTCAGAGAATGGTAAAAATAGGTAATTTCATATTATGTATTATAATCTATCAAAAGAATATATATTATCGTTGCTGTGCTAAAAGTGGCTAAAGAAAGTGTTTTGACATAAGAAAAATAAATGCCTAGTGGTAGGGTTTGTTGATATAACTCTTGGGTTACAGAATTTAATTCTATATTGTGCCACTCTTTTAAAATTATTTCCATTATTATTCTTTTAATGACCTACCCCATCAATCCTCCAGAACTACATCAGACGTAAAAATAGATAAGGTACAATTAATTTGTGGTAAAATATTGAATTGTAATTATATTAGTTAATTGGGGTAAATTAAAAAAAGTATATCCATATTTTAATTTTTACTTCTCTGATATGTATCATGTTCCCTCAATTAATGTATTCAATATACATATAGTAAAATAATATATTTTAATTATAAAAAAATATATTTGAAAGGTGGGAAAATCGAATGGCAGGTATTCGCTATGATGAAGATGTAATGAATAGAGCTGGCTGGGACCGTGTCCCTCAAGGTAGCTTAAAATTAAATATTTTAATGCTTGGTTTCGACTCGTTATCACATATGATGGTTCAGAGAAAATTACCAAGGGTTTATGCTAAGCTTCAATCAATGGGTGCACATATATTAGAGGGATATAATATAATTGGCGATGGTACACCTCAAGCATTAATACCTTTACTGACAGGTTGATTATTTTTTTGTTGAAATAGTTATTTCCTAATACATCTGAAAAATATTTATGTTTTACTTAAAGGAAGAACTGAATTAGAATTACCTGATACTCGAAAACGAATGGGAAAAAAAGCATCTTATCTAGATGTATTTCCTTTCATGTGGAATGTATTCAAAAAATTTGGATATGTTACAGGTAATTAATTGATGATGTACTTTTATAGATATATTAGATTATTAATTGAAGTAAAAATTATACTTCTTAGGTTATGCTGAAGATTGTTCTAATGCAGGAGTTTTCACTTACAGACTAAAGGGTTTTGATCAACAACCAACTGATCATTATTTACGAACTTATTATGTAGATTCAACACCAATGTTTGATAAACAAAAGCCCTTTTGTTATGGTTCTTTACCTAGGCACAAAGTAAAATGAAGTTGATTGTGTTTATAATACTTAGAATTGTTTTTTGTTTTATTTTTTTATTAGTTATTGGCTATTCATTGAAAAGTAATGTGATACTATTTAATCAAGCTAACTATTAAATTATGAATTTATTAAAACAATTTAAAATTGCTTATATTATGAAAACACATAAGTCTTATAATTTTATTATATTTCATAAGAATAATTAATGTTCTCAAAAACATAATATTTCTTATATTATGGCTGATATGAAAATAATTTACATTTTATCATTCATATATTTTTAATAATTATTATTATTTTTTAGATAATGCTAAATTACATTCAAGATATGTTTAGGGTTTATGAAGATAAACCAAAATTTATGTTTGCATTTCATGGAGAACTATCTCATGATTATGTAAACAAAATTAGTGTGGCCGAAAATGATTTAATAGAATGGCTTGAGTGGTTTCAAAAATCTGACTATTTAAACAACACTATGTTATTATTTATGAGTGATCATGGCCAAAGGTCAGGTTTATAATTTTATAACTTTCTTTAAGTTTATGTAATTTATATTCATTTTTTTATGCAAATAGATTTGCTTCTATACGTGATACACAGCAAGGTAAATTAGAGGAACGGATGCCATTTTTTTCAGTAAATCTTCCTAAGTGGTTTGACAAAAAATATCCAAAAATGGCTGCAAATATTAAAAAAAATACTAAACGGTTAACAACACCATTTGACATTTATGCAACAATAATGAATGTGTTACAAAAAGAAGAATATAAAAATAATGTCAACAAACGTTCAATTTCTCTATTTAATGAAGTAAATTGTTGTTTTTTTTTTTTTATAGAAATTCACTTATTTTATTCATTGCATATTTCTTATAATA